ACAATAATAGGTGTATAATGTATTCCAATAACAGGTCCATAACGTATTCCAATAACAGGTCCATAATATATTACAATAATAGGTGTATAATGTATTCCAATAACAGGTCCATAACGTATTCCAATAACAGGTCCATAATATATTACAATAATAGGTCTATAATGTATTCCAATAACAGGTCCATAATGTATTCCAATAACAGATCCATAATGTATTCCAATAACAAGTCTATAATGTATTCCAATAACAGGTTCATAAGGTATTCCAATAACAGGTTCATAATGTATTCCAATAACAGGTCAATAATGTATTCCAATAACAAGTCCATAATATATTCCAATAACAGATCCATAATGTATTCCAATAGCAGGTCAGTAATATATTCCAATAACAAGTCTATAATGTATTCCAATAACAGGTTCATAATGTATTCCAATAACAGGTCAATAATGTATTCCAATAACAAGTCCATAATGTATTCCAATAACAAGTCAATAATATATTCCAATAACAAGTCCATAATGTATTCCAATAACAGATCCATAATGTATTACAATAACAGGTCAATAATGTATTCCAATAACAGGTCCATAATGTATTCCAATAACAGGTTAATAATGTATTCCAATAACAGATCCATAATGTATTCCAACAAAAGTTTTAAATGCACTCCCAGATGTCAGTTGAAACAATTCAACGGCAATTTTCCTAAAAATAGTGATGAATAAACATAAAATGTGCTGTCAACCAAATTCATTGGATCAGAGCGAAAATGCAATATGATTGTCTAGTGGCCCGTTTAGAACCGTATTTTGTTATTTCAGTAAAGGAAATCGCATTGCATTTGTTTTTAAGCAAAGTAGACTGACTACAATGCATTGTTAGCAAAAATGTTAGGGTTACGATTAAATGAGTGTATATAGCACAATAAAATGTTCAAGTTCACGAAGTAGCACGGGAATTTTTTCCGCTGAATGCCACCGTTCCTTGTCATTTACAGAGCGCAAGAAAAGACCGCTACTGAAGTGAGAGTTTTTTATAGTTGTCAAAGGGAAAATATTAAATTTTATTCAAATCAGTTTATGTGACATACTACAATACAATCAGTCATGTATATAATACCAACATCAAAAAAAGTATACATATAAACCGAATAACAATAAATACATACTCAAAGTCTCAAACACGTTCCGTTGTATATACACTTTTTCCGTCATGCTACTATCTTCGAAATATTTCTTTCAATCAGTCCAAAGAAGAAGTTTCATTTTCTTTCGTGAAATTACCCTGAAAAAAGAAACATTTGGGTTCTTAATAAGTTTTCTTCCGATTAACCATTCAGCACATACGAAGACTGAAGGATTAATGTTGATATTGATGTGAAATTTTAATAATTGCAAAAACGTTAATACTTTTCCTCTTAGAATGAAGCATTTTGACATGACAGTTCCACACTGTAATCTAATACTTCAAACAGTTCCATAATGTAATCTAATACTTCAAACAGTTCCATACTGTAATCTAATACTTCAAACAGTTCCATACTGTAATCTAATACTTCAAACAGTTCCATAATGTAATCTAATACTTCAAAATGTTCCATACTGTAATCTAATACTTCAAACAGTTCCATAATGTAATCTAATACTTCAAACAGTTCCATACTGTAATCTAATACTTCAAACAGTTCCATAATGTAATCTAATACTTCAAACA